TTCCCTCTCCCAACCAGGCAGCACATTTCAATTTAGCTTGGAGCGAGGGAAGCTCGATTGGGTTATTAAATTTCACACCCTAATTGACACGCTGCTGTAAAATCTAACTTGCACAAACACAATTTCTACTAATGACACGGGGGGGGGGAAGCTTTCTGCTCCCACTGCCCCTCTAATTGCCCCTCTCCCCCAGCTCCCTTGGGAATCCAGCTTAATTGTGCAGGGGGTGGTTAGCAGGGGTGGGAGGTTAAAGAGAAATAAATACTGGACCGCTGATGGGATGTTTCCTGTTTGGGCAGAGGGCTGTGCAAGCGATGGGCTGTGCGGGTTTCGGAGCGTTCTCCTCTTCCCGGCACCTCCCCAGGCACGCCATGATCCACCTTAATAAATCCTTTATGGCAACAGATTAACCTCAGCCAGGTCCCCTGGCATGAGTTAACTGTTGATGTTTTACAGTTAGACCTGTTGGAGATCTTCGTTTCCCTGTGACTGACAGGCTGGCAGCCGCCCATCCCTGTAGAAATGCTTATCCTCCACCTCTTATTTCTGATGGGGAAAACCCTGCCACAAGCAAGTTGGCACCCAGGAGGTTCCCTCCTTGCTGCTCCACCACAGAGCTTTGGACCCAAAGCTCCCAGCACCGTTTTCCTCCTCTTTTCCCCTGGGACAGCCAACCGGATAAAAGCACTTTGAGGACATACCTTGTAGTGCCCTGTGCCACGGGGCTGGGGCAGACGCCAGTGAGGCTCCCAGGAGCAGCAGTGCTGGCTCCACTGTGTCCCTAGGATTGCTTTCCCCACAGAAGTTAGAGCATAACCACTTCTATTTCTTTTATTCCTTCTGGAAGATGTGTTTAAATAATTGATGACAGAATCTTAGCAATGCCTCGCAGTTCAGCTGATTCTGCTCTGCAATTTCCTTAATACTATACACCAGGCACTCTCTTTTTGTAAAGGACAAATGAATCATTTTAAAATCTGAGTTTTTCCAAAGATGTGCACTTGTTCTCATCTTAAATTCCACTCTCCAGGCTCAGGGGCCTGCTGGACAAGGAGCTGGCATCCGTAGCAAAGGAGTACTATTAGAGTAAGGCCATATTCCAGTAAGAGATGAGGCAGCACAGCTGGTTTTAGATTGCTGTGTATCTTGGCTATAGCATAACAACTTTGCATAAGTCATACCATCCTTCTGAAGCAAAAAATCAAGTGATGCCCAGAGCCATGCTCTAATTTTAGCTGTGTCTGAATCACAATGTCAGGACTCAAAATTTGTGCCATGTGATGGTAACTATATTTGAGTTACTTCAGCATCTTTCTCCTGTATGTCTTCTTATACAAGACCTTTCTAAATATATATGGAAATAACAGTTTGGAGAGCCAGGGGAGGTATAGGCCCACCTCCATGCTCTTCATACCTTCTTATTCCTGAGTTTTGATGAAAAGAAGCCAGGAATTTATGGGGGAGAAATAATCCAAAATATTGAGGCTGGACCTAGCAGTGATTAAAACCTGCAACTTGTACCCAAGAGGAAAAAATGTTGGGGTTCTTTATACCTTGAGGCAATACTCAACATTCAACTCCGGTTGGACATCTCACCATTCCCTGCCATATGCCCATTCACAGGGGCTGGCCCTGGCAAATCCAAAGCTCTGCTGGGCACTGGGTCCTGCCTGCACTGGGCATGGCCCCATTTTCTGGAGGGAGTGACTGAATCCAGGCAGACATCCCCCCCTTTGCCCACCCTGGGAGAAGGCAGGGCTCAGCCCCTGCTGCCTCGGCCACTCATTAATGCAGAGCATGGATTTCATTACGCTGATTGCTCAATTCTGTTATTAACAAGGCATAAATCTCTGCATTAGTCGCTCTCAGTCTTTGGGTCACAACCCCTGGGAGAGGTCAGCAGCAGATGCCCAGCCTAGGTCATGGCCCTCAACCCATTACCTGTCCCGTTAGCTTCTTCATCAGGAATAAGAAGGCATGAAGAGTTTGGAAGTATGCCTATACCTTCCCTGGTCCTCCAAACACCATCCTAAGGAGCTCGCATCTCTGCTTGCTTCATACAGAATCACAGACTGGTCTGAGTTCGAAGGACCTTAAAGCTCATGCAGTTCCAACCCCCTGTCATGTGCAGGGACAACTTCCATTTGACTAGGTACGTTGGTGCATGCTTGCTGGTGATACAGACCAGCCCAAGGAGGCTCTTGCACTGTAGCTCTTAAGAGGGGAATTTATTCAAGGCTAGAAAAAACCTATTTCCTGCTGTATCAACTCTTAGTTTCTTTTAGCAGGTAGCTCTGGATGTTCTGCATCTGGCAAAGCCAGAGGCTATCCCAGAGAGCAAATAGGGACACGTGCAATAGCCATGTCAGGTTATGGCACGTTATCAGGTCACAGCTCTGGATGGCTACACTGCACCATGGGGTCCGCATCCCCCTTAGCTGCTCCGGGGCACCACTGCTCACACTTAACACAAAAGCTCTACACCAGCCCAACTCTGCTTTGTCTTTGCTGTCCTTTTAGCACCCAGTGAGGGAGGAAGGGTATGGGGACCAGGTGGCATCCATCCAAAACCAGCAAGCATTTCATTTTTGTCTTTATGGGCATTTTGTCAAGCATAACTGCAGACGGGAACTCCACAAACAGTAATTAACCACAAGCTGTGGGCAATGTTAAAGTGCTTGCCCCCTAACCTGCTGGTACACAGGAAATCTGAGATGCTGCTAATAGGTTTTTCAGCAGCTGAGTCTATTTCTGGGCCCAAATCTATTTGCTGTGGCTCTCAGATAACGCTGACGAATATTTTCTTGAGCGTGCACCAAACGCTTCCTGTTGTGTGAGTCTTGACCACGAGCACAAACAAACAGGTTGGAAAATCAATACCCTGTCCCGTCAGCAGGCGCTGGTGTCAACTAGAAATGCAGCTATGAAGCACCATAATTAATTACCTAAAACACAGGCAAGCTGACAGTGCTAATTAAGATGGGGAGTGACAGGTTGGAGGTCCCTGGACTGCCCATTTCATTTTCACAGGGCTTATGAAATATGGGGGGATCATCCCTCCTTCCTTCCAGTGGCCAGATGGGAGAGCACAGGGCTCCCCTGGATCAATAGCTCATCCCAGCCATGCCCTACAGCAGCTGCTCTGGAAGCAGGAGAGGCAGGACCGGGTGGTTACAGCAATAACATCCTCCCTGCTCTGCTCCACCCATAGGGAATTTTCCTCTTTTCTCTCCAGGAGAGAAATTAGGATTCAGGGCCCAAAGCAGGAGGATCCAGCACTCCTTCCAAAGAGGCTGTCTTCTGAGCCATCCCCCTCCGAGTGCTCAAGTTACCCCTATAAAGGGGCCATCTGCTTCTGTCTCGTAGTGCTTTCAGTCATACCTTGTAGCAGTGAGTGCCACGGGGAATCTATTTCCTGGGAAGGTGACTGTCCAACAGCTCTCCAAATTCAGCCTCTCAATCTGGGTGCCTCTGTGCTGGGATGAGCTCTGGAGCCCAAGCAGGGTGTTATGCTGGGAGGGATTGCCAGGCTGCAGAGCATCTTGGCCAAATCCTTCCCAGCCCACAGGTATGTTGGACCTGAGCTGATGTTCTGACCTTGCCCAGGTCTCTCTGTGGCTCTCATTCCTTATTCCTGATCCTGCCCCACCAAAGCTTCCAGGAGCATCACATACAGGGGCCTGCGATTGACTCCTTTGGGTATAGGCTCAGTCACAGGAGGGGGATGCTCATTGTTTGACAGTCAAATATATTGTCTGTGCTGGTTCTGTTTCTGTTTCTTTCCTTTTAAATACTTCTTTCCAGGTTGCATTTCAACGGATTACCCTCCCGAGCCGACAGACAGACAGGTCTGTCTGTCTGTCTGCTTAGCATTTTATCTCCCCTGCAAATACCCTTGCTCTATAGCACATGAGCCAAGGATTAAACACATAGAAAGAAACAATTCACTGTGGCTTGGCCTGTAATGTCTTTTGAAAGTTAAGTTATGGCTGTTAAATGTTAACACCATATAATGCCTGTCTTTATCCTATCTTTGCAATAAAGTGATGACATGGCTCCATTATGAGCTAGTCACAGAGAAGCTCCCAAACCTGCAGTGTTGTAATGGCACTTAATCTCCTCCCCAAGTGCCCAAGATTCCCACCCAGGCTTTGTCCGCAGCGTTTCTCTGGGATCGTGAGGACACATTAAAGAGGAAAGATGAAATCAAGTCCACCCCCTGTTGCGCAAGGCCTGGGAAACCTCACGCTTCCCCTCAGCCACCACAGTGCCTCCCTTCTGCCACGCTACCTGTCCTTTTCCCATTCTCAAGGACAACCGCAGAGTTGCTTATCAGCCTGTAAATCGGCTGTGGCAATAAAACGCTGGCATCCAGAGCAATAGCTTTTGTCCTAATGTACTACTTTGCAATTGCTGTGCATATCCAACATATTAATGACACAAATTCATTACAATAAATGAAGACACTGACTGGCCGGGGGCCAGAGTCAAGTAAGGACCATAAAAAAAGAAAAGAAGTTGCTTTTGCTCCTGCCAATTGGCAAGTTTGTGATGCAAAGTTGAACGCGTTGGATGTAGAGTGATTCTGGTGAGTGATGGGAAGAAGTGACTGCTAAATATAGGAGTAATGGTGCCAGGGATCTGGGGAGTGAAAAGGGAGGCTGCTTCCCATGTGATTAGTGAGCAGCCATGATTTCCAGGTGAAATTAAGGAGTCAAATGGCTTCAGCAACAGGGTGATGGATTATGTTTGAACTGGCTCACAGTTTTCAGGTAAGAAAAGCTGTTCACTGAGGTGAAGGACTCATTCCAACCTGGGGAACGGGGGATTTTGTTGATCTACTCCCTTTGTTTTTCTCTCCACTTTTGGATTTACTCTCTCCATTTACTCATCTAGTTGTACCTCTCTCACTCCACGTGCTGCTCTTTCTATTGGTGGTCTCTTGATCTATGCATTGACAGTGGATACAGAAATTATTGAATACCTCAGATACTTCCTCGTGAGAGATTTAAAAATCTTTCTGTTTTGTTTAGCAAGGGCTGTGCAGTGCAGTATGTACCAGATCAAAGGCAAGGCACTGTTTAATTTAGCAACAAAAGCCAATGCCTTCTAATTAAAATTAGAGCTATTCAAATGAGAAACAAGACATCAATTTTTTGAGGAGGAAAATGAACCATTGGAATAAGCGATCAACTGAACTGATGGATTCTGTTTCTTGCAAAAAAAGATCTTCATAATTCTAGAAGTGAAATTATAATCAGCAACATATTATTACATTGAAAGCTGAAATAACTCGATATTTTATTACCCTTGTTCTAGCAGGGTCAAGTCAGGTGATATAACCTTCTTGATGTGTGCTCTGCAGTCAGGTAAGGGGGGACTGGTGAATCCAGCTTGTGAGTTCATCGGTATCATCATGGAGTTACGTCTTGGAAAACCAGACAATCATGTAGGAGAGACTCTGGTTTGGAAATGCATGGCTTGGACTTGGGGCTGGACAAAACAGACTTGGTTTCTCTGGAAGAGTGGACATGGAGGGTGCAGTATGGTGACAGGAGCTAGCAAATAAATCCATGCTGACAAGAGAAAAAGAGACAAAAGTGAAATTAGATTCAATGAGAGACATAAACCAGCATTTTCAGAAGCAACTACTCATGGGAACAAACCTCCTGCTCCTGATATTGCATCAGAATGTCACAGAATGGTTTGGGTTGGAAGGGACATTAGAGTTCATTCAGTTCCAACCCCCTGTCATGGGCAGGGACACCTTCCACTAGACCAGGTTGCTCAAAGCCCCATCCAACCTAGCCTACAAAATGTCTCTAATGCTGGGTGATAAAGCCAGAAGGCTTGCCATGCATTGAAGGGATGTTGCTCCCCACACAGGCTTGCAAATTCTGGCACTTTTCAAACTTCTTCTACAACTGTGCCTTTTTCACCGTGCCTGCAGAGAGCCTGTTTTTGTTAGGAAAACACCTTTTTTTACCACCTCCTGACGGCAGATTCTTTTCTTTTGCCAAGGGGAACATAAATAAAACGTCCCACACTAGGGCAGATGTTGAGCTGTTTCCTGACACAGCTCTGCTGGGATCCCTGCACCCATTCATTTCAATCCTGCAAGGCAAGAGCAGTTGTAGGAGACAGAAAGTTCCTGTTCAGACCAACAGGGCAATTGAAGGCCTTCCCTGCACACAACGCCGAGCCGGCATTCATGCTTCAGGGGGTCTTCAAAGTTAGCTACAGATTAAGTGGCAAATGCAGCTAGAATGAAGGTTGATTAAAGCTCCCGGATAATTACTCGTTTAGCTGCAGAGCGTGTGCTCGAGGAGAAGTGCTGCAAAGCTTTCTATAGACTGGAAAGCCCAATGCCTCAGCCAGAGCTGCCAAGTGAACGGATGTGCCAAGTGGAGCACCGTAATGATATCAGTAACAGTCATTATACAGAGAGGGAAGCAAACACTTCCCCCATACAACTGCAAATCTGCTACAGCCTTGTGCAGCCGTATTTCTGTGCCTCTAATGGGAGCTTGGCTGTGGCTGGATTTACAAGTGGCCTCTTTCTTAGGCTCCTGTGTTTAAGTTTACCCTTCCCTCCTCCCTCACCTCTTGGTTATTTAGCTAAGGGCTTACTGGCAATGGTGTGAGCCAGGGGCTAGTTCTGCTGAAGGCATTGCCCATCACCTAAACTCAGGTGTGTGGAAAATAAACTGCTCATGTGGCCTTACCTGGGACTAACCTCTTTGAAGACAATGCTAAATGCATTTAATTTAGCTGGGAAATAAAACCTTCCCTGCACCCATAACTTTGGGATCCCTCATCTACCTGCATGCAGATGCAGCAGGGATGCTGTAGTGTCAGCGAGCATCCAGACCTAAAAGTTAGGCTCAAACCATGGGTTTCCTGGAGATGTGAAGTCCATGCTGATGATTCAGCAAGCAAGCTGAGGGTCACAGCTTGTACTGGCTCCAAGAGGTGTGCCGGTCCATTTACAGTTCTTTAGAAGAGCTTAGAGCTTCTGATGCAAGGTGCAAAGCATCACTTGCGCTATTAAGGTGATGCATTCCTAAACAAGTGCCCACTACAACAGCATGTGCAACTGCCATGGTTCAGTGCTTTGGGCAAAACAAAGCTCAGTTTGGTTCCCCTTCCAAAAATGACCCCCACGGAGCACACAGGCAGCCATCCCAAAGGAAGAACTGCCATGGTAGTGTGGGATTAGATGGGTGGAGTAATTGTCCTAGGCACCATGTCCTTATCTACAACTTCCAGGCCATCACAAATAACACTTATGGTCATTTCTCTCCTATTACAGTGGTGCTAGGTGCAATGGGCTAAGCCAGGAATGGGCCATGCTGCAGAGGGGCTGGCTCTATTAGCACACAAATTGCAGGCTTTCAGAAGCTGTCTTCTGAAAGGCCCCTAAATACACTCATCTCTAACTAGGAAGTTAAAAATGTTAATCTAATTGTCACCCAGACATGTTTGTGTTACGAGTCTGGATGTAAGTTTGTCCACTCCTTAAGTAAGTCTATTTGCCTAAAAGGCAAACATAAGAGTCAGGTTTGACATTGCACATTGAACCGAGTCCTGCTATTTCTCTTCTCCCCTACGTCTCCCTCCTTTTGCTAAGATTAACTGATCAGGTCTTTAATGCCATGGCCAATGCGCCAGGATATAAATGCTGCTAAAATAAAAAGCAGATGAAGTTTCTGGTTATATGAAAACTACCTAAATGCAGATAATACCTGCTAAAATAATTGTTTCATTAGGTAATTTGGCTCCATTCATGCTCCATCATTTTAAGAATTTTCCCCCTGATGTGGGGGGCAAAGTGTCCTTTACGTGATGCGTCCTTAAAAATAGCTGGGATGAAACGATGGAGTACGTGTGCGATGATTTAAGAGTGGAGGCACCAAGTTCTTACACAGGAAGTCTGTGTTTTTCCCCCAAAAAGATCTGTGGGTGGCTTCAGCGCTGAAGAGATCTCGACTGTGGAGTGCATTAAATCTCTTCTGAGAGTTTCAGCTCCCTTCCTTGAATCTAGGAGGTTGGGAGAGTTAGACAGAATTAAGCAATATGTTTGCTTGAGAGCTGCTCTGTACAACGAGGGGGCTGCAGTACAGGCTATAGGTGCACACACAGGAAAAGGAAGGTGAGTCTCGAGGGGAGCAGAGCTTCAGCTTTGGCTGATCACTTGATTCAGCTACCTTTTGGGTGCAAACCTACAACAGGTTTAGTTGGGAAGAGGGAAAGCCCAACCTTTCTGGGCAGGGTAGGGTTGAGCCGTGGTGACTGAACTTTACTAATGACCAAGTTTTTCTTTCCAGGGCTTACCAGAGGCTTCTCAAAGAGGCTTCTGTGCTCCCATCACACCCGGGTTTCAGCTTCCTGCAGAATAAAGGAACCCCTTCCCCTGGTGTAATGAGTGTTTACCCAGGGGTGCTGATACCGTCAGAGTCTGTCACTACAGGATCAAAACCAGAACTGCACAGCCTCTGATAAAAAGGCCAGATGTGCCACTTTAATTAATGCAATTTGCTAAACACTGCAACAATTAAGTGCAATGTGATAGCGCTGTAATCTCGGGGGCCAGGAAGCGCAGTCCCCAAGGCATCCCCAGCTGTTCCAGCTTTCTTTTCTGCTCTGCCATTTTCTTACATCATTTACAAACTTAAAGGATTTGCAGGGGAGCCACAACATCAAATAAGAAAGGAAGCTGAAGGCGTGCAGGTGAGCACATAAGGAGGGTAAGGGGCTGCACAGCCACAGGTGGTTTGGATGGGGATCTGTTTTGTGAATGGTGTCAGTTCAGATACACCCAGGGGCACAGGCTCACGCACAACCCAACACAAATACAGCCCCCAGTGAGCAGCAAGAGACACAAACAAACATGTATAGGAGCTGAGACTATCGAATACCCCAGACAGAGCAAACATGTACGCAGGCTGTTGTACAAACACCCTGTAACACTTTCCTAACACACCTCTAATGCTGTGCAGGCATCAACACCAGGCTGGGCACGCACCCTCCTTCCTTCCCCTCCCTAAACACGTCCCTCTCTGCCTGATAACCCAGTACAGGAACCTGGGCATGTTCTGCACGTTCCCCATTACTTCTGTGTAAGTTCATGCAAGAATCAGAAGAGCTCCGAAGTTCCTCCTTCAGATGCTTGGATCCTCTGGGACTTTCCTACTTAAGAACTGGAGGAAGCAAAAAAGAAACACAGTAATGAGAGGAAAATGAAGAAGTTTCTTTAAAAGCCCACAGGTTTCAGGGGAAGTGATGGGAAATTAAAGATGTGTGATAGACGGGCTAATTTCCCTAACTGACAACCCAGACAGCTCAGTGCAAAAAACATTATAATGTTTGGGCTTGATTTGTGTTCTCCCCCTCCTCGCTGTACATAAGCCCGGAGTTGTGTGTGTATGCACACTTCCAGTAGGAAAGATGTTGCTTTTGTCTTGTAATCATAGAATCACAGAATAGTTTGGGTTGGAAAGGACCTTAAGATCACTCAGTTCCAACCCCCTGCCATGGGCAGGGACACCTCACACTACACCATATCACCCAAGGCTCTGTCCAACCTGGCCTTGAACACTGCCAGGGATGGAGCATTCACAACTTCCCTGGGCAACCCATTTGTCGTGGTTTAAACCCAGTCAGGTAACTTGTTCACTCACTCCCAGTGAGTGGTGCCGAGCTGACAACAATCGAGGTCCGTGTCCGTCTCCCCCGCCCCCCCCCCCCCCGCACCGGGGCTCTCCCCTTCCCCGCTCCCGGAGGAACGGGGAGGAGGATCGAGAGAGTGCAACTCCTACGGGTTGAGACAAGAACAGTCCAGCAACAAATCACCACCGCTACTATCAGCTAAAACAATGATAAGGGAAAATAACAAGGGAAGAGAATACGATACCACCGGCCAAGAAAACGAGTTCCACCCGGAAGCTCCTGTCCTTCCGGGTAACTCCCAGTTACCCCCCACCCCGGGCATGACGTGCTGTGGTATGGAATACCTCCCCGGCTAGCCCGGGTCAGGTGCCCCGTCTCTGCTTCCTCACAGCTTCCCCTCCTCCCTGGCAGAGCATGAGCCTCACAGAGTCCTTGGTCAGGGTAAACATCACTTAGCAACAACCGAAAACATCGGCTTCACCAACACTGTTCTCAAACTAGAAGTCAAAACACAGCACTGCACCAGTTAACACAAAGGAAAAACATGACTGCTACTGCTGAACCCAGGACACCATTCCAGTGCCTCACCACCCTAACAGTAAAGAACTTCTTCCTTATATCTAACCTGAACTTCCCCTGTTTACATTTAAACCCACCACCCCTTGTCCTATCACTACAGCCCCTGATGAAGAGTCCCTCCCCAGCATCCTTATAGGCCCCCTTCAGGTACTGGAAGGCTGCTCTGAGGTCTTCAAGCATTCTTCTCTTCTTACAAGGCAATGTAATGCACACACGTCTCTCTACTATCCACTCCCAAAACTGCCTGGAAAAGGGAAAATACAATTTGAACAAGTATTTTAAACAAACTGCTGATTTTTGTCGGGTTTACACTAGCCTGGTTTTCCACCTCTCCCTGAATGCCTGCACCATCTGGTTATCAAACAGCTTTACTGCATTTTGGGATGTCAGAAAAGCAAATTGTGGTGGGGAAAAGTGGTGAAAAAAACAGTTTCCCCCTAGATTTCATAGTAACAAGTACAGCACCTCTGGAGCATGGCAGCTGCAGAGATGGCTCGTGTTTGGTATCACCAGGGACTTGGTTGATTTGGAGAAACAGTGGGAAAACACGGTTGGTCCCTGCAGTGCTGTGCTGCAGCACCAGGACCTGAGGTCAAGCAGTCCCCATTCGTGTCCTGCCTCTGCTGCCATGGACCAAGATGATGTTCCTATGGCAATGGAGGTTTTTTTACACCTTTCCCATAAAAAGCAAAATCTGCCCAATTAAATTGTTCTGCACATTCATGTTGAAGAGACTTCACGAGACAAATATGGGTTAAAGAGCTTTTTAATTACCCCTGCACGCATGTTCTGTGCTCTCAAGCAATACTGTGCTTGTCAGGTATGAGTTTGCAGTGCAGTATGATGCAATTTTTCAGTTCAAAAAGGAATCCCAGTTCAAAAAGGAATCCCAGTTCCAAACCTACTTCGTCCTGTTGAACCAGACCCCACTCCATGCACAGAGGTCCTAAAGAAAACGGAACATTTTGCATGCCTTGAGCTACTTGTTTTTCCTGGAAAAATATAAATAAATCTGTTACTTTGAATAGGTGAAGTACACCATTAAACTGAATCCAGCGTAATGCAAATACTGTCTCAGCCCGTATCAGAGAGGTAAAAGAGAGGAGTCTCACCCACCCTTGCAAGAATGCCATCAACCCAGAATCAAGCCCATGCCAGAAGCCCTGAATTTATGGCACTTATTTAAGAAAACATGTACACTTTGTTTTCTTCATCTTTTTTTTTTGCAGCAGTTTTCAGCTAAGGACAATTGAAAAGCCTGACAGTGAAGCTGAGAGGGAGCATTGCCCTCTTCCAGCCTGCTTAGAGAGGGGAAATGAGTTAATAACTCCTATAACTTAAATGAGTTTGACAACCTTTAAATATAAACAGCTGATTGGAAGTGCTGAGAAATCTGGGAGAGAAAAAGAAGAAAAGGAGAAAAAAAAAAAAACAGAAGCTCCTGGGAAGCTCAGCAAAGGAATGCTGGCTCCGTTACCGCTTCTAGCACAGTACAAATGAGAAGGAAGAAGGGAGGCAGCATGGGCTGGCTAAGGAAGAAGAAAGAGAACAGCACCAAGTTAGAACACTTCATGTGAAAATCAAACCAGCTGTGGCCAGCACTCACCTGCAGAGAATGATTATTGCCATCCTGGGAGAGCCACATACAGGGAAGAGTGGGGATGAGGTGGATAACCTGCTCCATGACTGCTTTGCTCGTGAAGAAGACCTCTCACACCACACCAGAGGTGTGAATCATCACTAGGTGATGACTGACTTGAGGCAAATCTGTGGTCACCGCTGTGAGCAGACAGGGTGCTGCGAAGATTACGGTCCTGCTTGATGTCAAAGGCCTTGGGGTTTGTCCCAAATCAGTGCTAAGGAAAAACACATGAGTTCACAGGGCAGCAATGTCTGGTTGCTGGTATCTAGACCTTAGGTGAGGCAATGGCTCCTAGCCTGTCTGGAGGCTGTGTTGTGGCCTTTTCCCAGTCTGTTTCCAGAAGTACATATGATTACACTGATGTGATCCTTTGGATACGTCTCCCTGTCCCATGCATAGGGACTGGTTTAAAAGCCTCTGCATTAGGTGCAGAGTCAGGGAGGGCTAAGGCTCTACCATAGTTCTGTAACTGCTCAGAAATGGGCTCTTTTTTTGGGTAAAACCAGTTCTGAGCATGTCCTTGGATTCTGAGTGGCTGGGATTTATAATGAATAAACCAATAAATGAAGCTGGATAGTAGCTGTCTCTTTATTACAGATGTACTATAGGTCCTACTGTTTCCCCAGTCCGGAGGGCATCATCCATCTTTGAAAACAGGAGGTAAGCTCCTAGGCTGCTTACTTACAGTAAAAGAAGGCCTTTTTGGACCAGAATGATTGTTTTGTTGACAGAAATAGTGCATGTCTGTCTTGTAAAGGCAAGAGTCTGTCTGTGTGTATGCACATGCATACTCACGTGTATTTTGCTGCATAACTCAAAGCCAACCCCCCAAGCTGTCCTTGAAAGCCTAAATCTGCCAATCCTTTCCTATACCACCACACTGGTTTCAAGGAAATGCTACCTTTTGAGTGAGAATAGGAAATGAATATGCTACTCAGCCAGATGAATTAATTAGCTAATGTGCATACATCACTTAGGAATGGTAAGGCCCTAGATAACTTTTTATGTCTGAGGAAATATGGTCTAAAGTGGTTCAATTCCAGCCCAGTAAAACTAACACTCATTAGAGAAGCTGATCTGGAGAGTAAGGTGCAGGGAGGGAAGTGGTGCCAGCAGCTACCTGGTAATCAGGAGATGGAACAAAGAAGCTGCTGTCTCCAGGATGAA